TATAATTATTCAAATGCAATCACTGGAAAGATGAAATATACATAACATGACTCAGATCTTGCTAGTCTACAGCCCAAGACTCTACTTTGCCAAACTTTGCCAATCTACAAGTATTATCACTTACAGATGCGCCATGTTTTTCTTTTTTAACCAAACCCCGAAGTTACAGTTTAATATTTTTGACATAATCGTTATTAAAGCAGTATTATTAATCTATTTGACTTAGAATGTAAGGGATGACCTTGAAGTTTATAGAAAAAGCGTCAAACACTTTTATTGAAAAACTGGAAAACTTGTGCTGATAGCAGGAATTATATTTGTGCAATTGAAATGTGCATAAATATTACACTAGATCAGTGATTTCAACCTATTTTTGGATGAAGTTCTGTCTTTTTATTTAACTCTTCTTTTCATAACTTTTGGACTGTATTATTTCTTTCACAAGTCAGCAAGTACCTTGTAAATACTGGTGAAACGTCTGAGAACTGAGGCACGGTTTGGTGTGTACGTGATTATGTGTGCTACCGATGGGAGTAAGGATGCGCGTGATCTCTTTAGTTAAGTGTATGACTTGTTTGCTTTAAAAATATCACGTTACTTAAACAAAATTGAAACAAGCAGTTAATATCATGATAGATATCATTTTAGTCGTTCCATGATGGAATTCATTGTGAGTATGAATTGTGTTTGCTAACATCTTTATAATATTATTATACATGTATATGGATTTCAAGAAGAAATCTGACTTAAAAGTGTGTGTGTTTTTTAAAATAAATATCGTATCATCTTATTTTAATAATAAATAAATAATAAAATTGTTAATTACATAGCGCCGGTATCCGTCAGGCTCTGACGCTCATTGTGCTTTACACATATTACCCTGGTCGTAGCCGAGCTGCCAATTAAAGGGAAAGTCCACCCCAAAAATAAGTTTGTTTCGATAGAGGCAGAATAATAAGAAAATCAGGTGAGTGAAAGTTTGAGCAAATTCTGAATGAAAATAAGAAAGTTATGACTTATTGAAATTGTGATCAATCAAATACAAATTGGCAACTCTGTGACTTATTATACGAGCTCTCCTTCATTTGCTTTGTGCATAATATTCCATAAAATCATGTTTTCTTCGTTATTGATGACGGAATATATATTTGTTCCTTGCAGGGGGAGTATAGAAACATATTTGCAATTATTATATTTAGGGTGCATGTATGGTTGAAATTTTTCTTGAGGGAAAATGAAAATTTTAGATTTTTTTAGTACTGAGCAAATGGAAGTTGAGCTCGCATGATACGTCATAGAGTTGCCAATTTGTGTTTGATTGATCACAACTTCAAAAATCCTAACTTCCTTATTTTTAATCGGAATTTGCTTAAACTTTCACTGACTTGTTTCTCTCATTTTTCTACTCCTATTAAAACTAACTTAATTTCAGGGTGGACTTTCCCTTTAAGTAACTATAGCGCTCAAGCATATATTTTACCATCGCTGTCGCCTCTCCTTTCTCTTTCTCGTACTTCTTTCTCTCATTTTCAAGTTCTCGGGGAGGGTGTGGGGGGGGGGTGTATTGGTATTGGCACGTCCGTATGCTCCTCCCCCCCCCCCCCCCCCCACTCAGAGGTCGGAATGACCGCATGCGTGTTGCCAAAATGTCCGGTAAAGGGGTACTTTTCGTGCGACAAAGTCCGGCCCGAGAATTGTAAAACAAGGGGTGTATAAAAATAACTCTGAGTGGGGGGGGGGGGGGGGGGGGGCCGGGATGCTCCTATAGTAACTACGCTACTGTATTTTCGGCTATTTTTCACATACGTATAAACACCTGTATCTACATCCGCAGTGAGTTAGTTTCATTTTCAGTTTAATATTAACGTAAATTTTGACTTGATATTCATACGCATGGTTGAATATACCTATAATCTTGTTAAAAAGTATATAGTTGTATATTAAATGTGTTAATGGTTTTAGTTTGTACGATGATGATTATGGTTCAAGGGTAAATGAGTGCAATTTGAAGACCCGATCAACAAATTACGTCACCCCGCAAACATTTTGTTATCAAGGCAAAACAGAAAGGTCAAACGCTATGCACAGAAATGTCAGTATACCTTTGTTACAAGTGTAGATCGCTAAGCGAGAAATATGAGCACAATTATTGTTCAGACAGAGAGTGGAAAAGGGGAGAGAGACTGAGAGAGGGACGCAGAGAGAGATAGAGAGAGAGAGAGAGAGAGAGAGAGAGAGAAAAGAGAGAAAGAGAGAGAGATAAAAAAAATGTGAGTTGGTCTAGCGGGTCATACATTCTATATTGTATATGGCTAACATAGCTACATAGTTACGTATACATAAGAGGGGGAGGGTAAGAGGGAGCTAAATGGAAGAGAGAGAGAGAGAGAGAGAGAGAGAGAGAGAGGGTTGGACTCCAAAGAAAAAAAAGTGTCCGCTTACCCCCCCCCCCCCCCCCCCCCCCCCCCCCCCCCCCCACTGAGCGACTTTTCGGCCGGCGCGATTTTCAAATTTTCGGGAGCAAAAAAAAAAAAAGTTGGCCCCCTCCCCTAAGAAATCCTGGATCCGCGCCTGGTGTGTGTGTTTGTGAAAGATTACCAGACGAAAGAGAAGGTAATGTTATCTTAATCTGTTCAAAGGTCACCTTATATTTTAACGTCAATATTAATTATCACATTTATCAACATAGCACAATAGATTAATCAAGTTCGTCATCCTATTACAAACAAGGCACAAGCGAAGTATTATTTGTATGTGATTCACTGATAGGAATGTGTTTCAAAGCATCAAAGAGCAGGACACGCATTGTTTCACCCTGTGACGCCGATTAAGATATATATGCTTTGAAGAATATGTATTTGCACATACACATGTCTTTTGTTGATGGCAAATACATCTTAATTGTCTTGTTCGAGGAAAAAAACCCGGACTTTACACTCTTCAATAGCACGGATGACTGAGCGCTTTCTTCTATAATAGCCGAGGTAGAGACGTTGAGAAATAGCTATAAACTCAAAGCCAACCCCCAAAATATGCAAAATTCACTAGTGCACTCGCAAACATTTTGTATAGCGTGGAATGGTCGTCGATTATCTATTTCTGCACGACGATTGTGCAATGATCTGCAATGACTTGTTTACATGTCTCTATCGCTGTTAATGTTTCTCAAAGGTTTCTCTTGAAATACTATCATTAACCTCTGTTTCTTGTGCTAATAATGTATTTGAACTTTAGCCCTGAGACTGTTTTTCCCTTTCAGCTGATATCGCTTTCCGTTAAACAATAACCATTCCAATGAAACATGATATTTCTAGCTAATTGCAGTGTACTCTTTTAAAAGCATAACTTTGTGATTTAATGACTTCTCCGTGCCGTGTTTTAATTTCCTTATATGCGCAATTCAATCAAAATAATGATGCGTATGTACACTGCACATTGATGGTTGTGTACAGTAAGGCCGTCGCTATTGAAAGATTCTGTCCAATCCTTCCATCTATCTAACGTTCTATATGTCCGACTGTCTGTTTATAATATGTCTATATATATATATCTATATATTTATCTATCCATCTAATCTATCTATCCACCCACAATTATATCCGCCCATCCATCCATCTATATATCCATCTATCCGTCTATATCTAATTCTCTATAAATATATTTGTTTTCCACATATGGGAAGGATCACACTTTTCAGCTAAAAGCTGGTTTTCAAAGGGGTCCACCCACAAGATAAAAATACAAATTGTTGATAAAATACATTTGAAATATGATTACATTGGCAAACAAACAAACGAAATTATTATATATACATACAGAAAACAAAAATGTACTGGATAGGGGTAAAAAAAAAAAGAAAAAAAAGAAAGAAGGAATAGAGAGGCGAAAGAGAAAACCAAGTATAAAACTGTTGCGTATAAAACAAATCAAAACAAAATAAAACAAATCAATCCATCTTTCTTTATTTACCCATCTGGACAAGTCCAAGGTATGTCGTATACTTTACCAAGTATCGTTGAATTACGCTGCATAATTATTATGGAATTGTGAAAATAATTTGACATAAAAATAAAATTTAACTTGATATTTTGTCTGATTCAAGCTCTGATAGAGACACCAGGGCGCTGTCTGACAAAGAGTTGATATCAATCGCAGCTATATATGACTATCAACATAAGAGATAGGAGACTGCAAACTTGCGATTGATTAGAGGACTTGCGATTAATTTGGATCAAGTGCAACTCTTTGTAAGACAGGGCCCAGCTTGATACCATCAGTATACTTGCAGTAGATGCGGTCAAAATACTTTGGACTCATTTCTCTTTACTATACGGCCATAAACACGTATTTAATGAGCGCAAGGTCTCGTGTGTAATCAATGATAAGCTTTCCTGAATTTCCTCACAGATTTCTGAAGATTCACTTGCCTACATGAATTTTTAAATAATAAGGATGATTTATTGACAAAGCAACTTCTCAGAATTTCATTTTTTCTCCTTTAATTACGATTGGCCTAAAATTTAATGCACAGTAGAATTTCATACATGGAGGCCTTGTTCAAATTAAATACACATAAAGAAATGATCCATTCATAATCATTACAACAATAATGCTAATAATAATGATAATAATGATAATAATAATACAAATAATAATAATTATGATATCAATGATAATATCAAAAATAATAATAAACCTATTGAACATTTTAGAAGTAATAAAATAACTAATTATCATTGGATTTTTAGAGCACCTAATCGATGGGCATATTCTGTAAAATAACATGACAACAAGAAGAAACACACTTATACTTTAGCTACACTTAATAGGCATTTTGGAAAGAAAACCTCTGGTTCGAAGTAAGAGACAGTCTGTATTATCGGTTTGGATTATATAGTGCTAGACCTAGACGCAGGTCAATGAACAGCAAACTACGATGTCAGCATGATATATTGAGCACCTATTGATAATGATCAATCGATAAAACAATATTACTGTACCTGATTTGTGTCACCTCCCTAGCCTTGACAGATCGAATGTATTCCTCCACAACAATGAAAGCTCCTTGCTACAGAAATTAATTATATCCAGAGCGCATGAAACACCGATCGGCACTGAGACTTCCCCCAGCTGTGGTAGTAAATATGATATTGTTTCGATATCAAATATATTGGATACCGGATGGGAAACTGTAGACTCCGGGTGCACATTGAGCTCGTTGTCGAATGGGACTAAATGCGTTTCCCATATAACTCTACCGGCGCGCGTTTGTCGTTTCCATACACATATCCACGATTGAGGGAGTTATCAATATTGTGGTGTAGCACTTCCTCTTTCTATCAGGTTATTGTATTGAAGCACAAATAGCACAACAGAACTAAAATTATTTCAATAGCAGTTCCTCTCTCCATTCCTCCCTTTCCCCATTGTACGCGAGCCGCAATACTTTCGAGGATATATATTTGTTTACGCCACGAGCTTTCATGACTTCATCACCTACGCATCTTTTGATACCAAATTAATAAAATTTCGACCAACAGGTAGCGTTAGCGTCAAAATGGCAACGCTATGGGCTGCCAGAATGAACATGTCCCCATTTACGCCTTTAGTCAATTAGCCATACTTAATTATTAAAAAACAAAAGATGTAGGTATGAAACTTCACAAGTTTTCCTTTTTATAAAATACTTTTTAGAAGTTTTCTTCACTCCATGGCCCAGATCCGGGGGTGGGGGGGGGGGGGGGGTGGGGTGGGGTGGAATCTGCCCCCTCGATCAGCTGAGAGCAAGAGCACCAAATTAACCCGGCCTATTAAAGAGCAAGTCCACTCCAAAGATAATTTTCTTTTAATAGAAGCAGACAAATCAGACAAACCAATCAAACAGGTTTGAGCAAAATCGGATAACTAAGGGCAACTTGTGGCGCTTGCGGTCAGTCGGAGGAGCGCGCGACTGTTGCCCCCCCCCCCCAAAAAAAAAAAAATAAAAAAAAAAAAATAATAATAATAATGATTTAGAATGAAAAAATCAGCCAAATCAAAGAGTTGCATTCATTGCTGAGCTCAAAATGTCTGAAAGGGAATAATGTTTTTTACCATTTTATTACGACTCTAAACCTGAGCTCTAAATGACAATAAGCTTACGATGTGCTACCAATTTTAACATTGCCGATATCTGGAAACACATTTTGTTTTTGTTTGTTTGATTTTTACTTAATTTGGACATTTCCCGTGTTCATTGCACCAAAACAACTACATATAAATTTACCTCCAGTGTAATTTCCCCAAGAATAGTCCTAATTTATGAAATTATGATTGATATATTTGGAATAAAAGGTGTTAAAAATGCCACATCTGGTCCTTTTAGAAAGCCCTAAATTCCACTAGCTTCAAGGGGCTCTGCCCGGTGCACCTCTGCTAGGGCTTCGCCTATGGACCCCGCCCGTTGTCGGCTCGGTCGCTACGCTCCCTCGCAGCACAGTCAAATATACAGGTTGGCACTTCAACTACCAATTCTTTTCGTTTTGGCACTTTTAATAAACTAGTTGAGAAGGCCTGGGATTTCAAAATTCATTAACGATACAAATTTTCATTTGTTCTTCATTCCACTGGGCACTCTCAAAACTAATCAATCAAGCATATGAGGTCCTAATAAATGATGTTATCGTGAATTTTATATAATTTATGGATGTCAACGTGCCCCTGAAATATGTTAATGACAGAGAAAACAAAAGACTTGATGACATGCATTTATATTTCGTCCAGTGTTTTTTTTATATTTTCTGTTTAATGTCTTGGGGTTTTCCCCAAAGTCTGTATCACTTTTGAAATATTTGTGTGTCCTTTTCTATACAGCCTGAATAATTGGTTTAAACAGAGAGTAGGCAAATTGGAGAAGAAAATGAAGAGACAAAAAAAAAATGGGGTAAACAAAATACATGTATTTAGAACTATGTATTCAATTTCTTTTTAACGCATCATGGGAATGATACGAAGTCCAATATTACACAAACTGTAGGTCTAATATTGAAAACTATGTTTTTTTCTTTTTCTTTTATTCTCAATGTTTTCGTAAGTGTTCTAGTGATAAAATGCACAATACTCACCTTTTAAGTGTATTTTAATGCTTTAAATTATTTAATAACTGCATTCACTTTTCATGCTATTTACCTTTACTCACCTTTTAAGTGTATTTTAATGCTTTAAATTATTATTATAACTGCATTCACTTTTCATGTTATTTATATGATAATGTTTTTTATTTTTAATCTGTGCAGTTGACCTCGTGGCAGACTAGCCTTGGGCTTAACAACTTATACAATTAAGTCTACTACAACTACTACTACTGCTACTGCTACTACTGCTACTACTACTACTGCTACTGCTGCTGCTGCTGCTACTACTACTACTACCACGACCACTACTACCACCACTACTACCACCACTACTACCACTATTACTACCAGTGGCGGATCCAGGGGGGGGGGGCCCGGGCCCCCCCCCCCCCTTGAGAAAAAAATCATGTAAAATCACGTGATTTTTACCTTTTTGGGGGGTTGGGCCCCCCCCCCCTGGCGCTCAAGGGGGGGGGGTGCAAATTGAATTTTTTTTGAGGATCAAAAAAAAAAAAATTGTGCTCTGTACCCCCCCCCCCCCCCCCCCCCCCCCCCCCCCCCACTGAGCGACTTTTCGGCCGGCGCGATTTTCAAATTTTCGGGAGCAAAAAACAAAAAGTTGGGCCCCCTCCCCTAAGAAATCCTGGATCCGCGCCTGATTACTACTACTACTGCTACCACTACTACTACCGGTACTACAACCACTACTACCACCACCACCACTACTACCACTACCACCACCACTACTACTTCTACTATTACTACCAGCACTACTACTTGTGCTCATACTACTACTACTACTTATTCTACTACTACAGCAACTACTACATACTATTACTACTACTGCTACTACTAAGCAATGAAACAATCAATCCATCCATCTAGTTATCCATTCCTCCATCAATACCATACTTTTTTTAAATTGCATTCAATCAGTTCTATATATCCTGCTAATATGTGCAAGAATGACTTTTAAAAATCAATAAAAAAATGTCATCAATCAATAACTCACTTAATCAACCCTTCTGTTCATCTTTTATCCACTCACACTATTTACAATTCTACATGCAGGACGACAGTGCCGTTTTCAAAAACAACATACCAGAACCAAGAAGCAAAATAGTCCTGTAGTTTTTATCCTGTATAGATATGTTTCAATAACAAAAGAATAGATCAACTGATGCCATTTGTCATTCACTCAAGCCGTTCAGGGGGGTGTTTCACAAAGATCCTGAGTCGAACTTAACTCTAAGTTGGACTTGCAATTTATGGAGAGCCATTTGTAGCCTTAAAATAAAATATATTCCAAAGCGAAAAAATCAAATATTTTAGAATTTTTATAATTCTACATCAAGAACATGAAATCTCCTTGATAATATGGATATGAATGATTTGAATCAACATTTTATGCCATTTAAAAAAACTTTAACAAAATATTTTCCTAGATGCTAACAGCTTTCCATAATTATTAAGTTCAACTTAGAGATAAGCTCAACTTAGGATCTTTGTGAAACACCCCCCAGGACAGGATTATTTTAAAGGCTAAAGCGATCAAATGACATTGATCCCCTCCTTCTCATTCCCAAAAAATTCTGGACAAAAAACTAATAATCAAATTGTACTTGACTTAAAACATACATCACATACATTCTGAAATAGTACACTTGTAGGCATACACGTTCAAAGTAAGACTAAAATAGAACCCTTTTTTAAAACATATTCACTAGAAATCATGATCCAAAGGATTTAATGTTGATTAAACACTGATCATGCATCAAATACAAATTCCTTAATCAAGGAGCAATTAAATAAATCGTTGGTTTTCATTTCTCATATCATTTGTATTATACATACTTGTAGATTGATATATGCATTTCTTTTACAAACCATCAAAACATAGCATCTAACAGCACACCATCGAGGTTTAATCCATATCTAAAATAGGAAGGCCTCATTTACAAGTAAGACAAATTGATTCAACCTTATCTCAAAATACAGATCAGGGCCCCGTCTTACAAAGAGTTACGATCGATCCAAATCAATCGTAAGTCCTCCAATCAATCGCAAGTTTGCAGTCTCCTATCTCTTATGTACAGAGTTACGATTGAAATCAATCGCAAATAACTTACGATTGATATCAACTCTTTGTAAGACGGGGCCCAGAAGCGAGAATAGAGTCGAAATAGATCATCAAATAAATCACCTGTAAAACAAAATGGCAACTACTAGAAAGGGTGAATAATACTTTTAATTTTTTCATTGAAAGAAACTCCTTTCAGAATCTTTAAACATGGAAATAAATTAGATTATCAGTACTACTCTAAACCATATTTAATGAAGAAAAAAAATTACTGAAAGATAAGCCTCTGGAGCTATAAATACAAATTATCAATAGAAGCATTAATCATTACACGGTAATGGTATACAAAATCAATGTCCATGTAATTTATCATTAGTAATAGAAAGGTCTTATCATTAAGAAGTATATAATTCAAATTTCACATAGCTCTTATATATAGAAAATTAGACAAATTAGAAATATGATCCGCTTCATTCTCCACTATACTCATGGTTTAATAAAACACATCAAATTCTTTGTTCTGTTGAAAATCATTCAAGATAAATTTTAATCAGTTTCTAGTAACTTTCAGATGTGTTCAATTTTCTCAGCTGTAGACTATTTTGTTGCTCAAATGAACCATCATAATCACTACCATCTTGTACATGCAGTGGTAGACAATACATTTAGACCCATTGGCTACCAAATCATTTCTTTGTCATTGGCTTAATACAGGGAACATACGGTTCCAGTAAGCAATGGGGTAATCACTTTTTGAATAATTTTTTACCTCGATCTATTAAATAGACAGTAAATGTACAGGCATCAAGTTTATAATAAGCAACAGTCAACTTTGAAAAAAGGGGGGAAATCAACATATTAAGCACCTCTTTAAAAGATAAGACAAAGCCTTCATAACTACAAAGGAGACGCGATGGCTCAGTGGTAGAGCATTGGTTTTGTAACCGTGAGGTCCCGGATTCGAAACCAAGTGGATTTGCTAGTGCCCTTTGGTAAGGCATTAATCCTCATTACCAAGTCCTTTGTAGAGGACTTAAAGCCGTCTGTCCCCTGGTTGCTTACTTTCAAGCTACACATGCTTTCTTAGCGGTCAGGTAAAACAAACCATCAAACCAAACCAGGGGCGTAAATCCCGGGGGGGATGGGGGGATGCATCCCCCCTCGCTTGAATGAGGGGGGGATGGTCTGTACAAATATCCCCCCTGAGATTACAACAAAAAAAAGGGAGAAAAAAAAGGAAGAAGAAGAAAAAAAAAGAAGTGATTATGTCAATTTTCGGAATAATGCATGAGAAATGAGTTATGTTTTTATATATGTATAACTGTATAGCCTACACGTATATAGTATGTCACGATCATTAAGAGAGACTTTTTGACCGGTTTGACAAGGGTCATACTCTCCTTGGTCTGCAAATGGCCATGAAGCCTATCGCCATCCTAGAGCAACTGAATTCTGCATTGCAGACCAAGTCAGCAAATGTGTCAGGTGAGCTGTTGTCACTACTTCGGTACTTTATTGGTATTCCATTCGTTAGTTTCAAAATAAATCGCCATTATGCTGCATGTTTAGGCGTTTTTTAACGAATAGTCTGTGTGGAATAGCTAATAATATTAATAATAATAAAGGTGATTTATAATGTTGTCTCTCATCCATCCCTACAACTTGTATATACAGGAATGCTGGAAGCAGCAAGGATCGCAACAAGAGAGATCTGTTCAAGCCAAAGTGACGAGGAGTTTCTCGCTTTGTACCACGCAACTGAACAGAAGATAGAGGAGTACAACCTAGACCCTCTCAAGCTGCCACGGAGAAGACGTGTTCCCCAGCGACTGGCCGGTGAAGGAGACCAGTACACACATGACAACCCAGAGGCATACTGCAGGCAGAAGTAATTCTCCTTCGTCGATGACCTCATTGTCCAGGTGGAAGACAGGTTCAATCCATCAAAGTCTGGATTAGGAGACTATGTTCAGCTGGAGGAGGTCTTGCTAGGAACAAGAAATGACATGGATATTGCCAAAAGGTGCACAAATCTTATAGTCCCGTTGAATTATTCCTGATGCATTTCCGATCTACGTATTTACGAATCACATTATATAATTGATAATGGTGGAAATGTGGCAAAGCCGGAAGGGAAATACATTCTCAAAATTAAGACACGCATGATGTATGACCACTCGTACAAAGTTGTGTATTTTTGTTTTTCTTTGAGTGGTTGGTTATTTCTTTCTTCCTTCTTTGCTCTTTTTGTCTCAGTCATTCATTTCCCTTACAGTCTTATAAGACTTGTAAATACTCCTGAATCTGGTAAGTACAAAAATACTTTTGTATTCATGTTTTTGCATGTATTAGACATCCGGAACTGAAGACAGACATCCTGGCAGTACAACTTCCAATGTTTCGTCACACCACAGGCGCGTCATCTCTTTAAGAATCAGTGGACACGTACCGATATATGACACCAGAGGTCCACACTCTATTCCCTCAGGTAAAGGCTATCATGCAGCTCCTCCTTGTATGCCCCATATCGTCAAGTGAGTGCGAGAGGAGTATCTCCAACTTGCGTCGATTAAAAACATGGTTGAGGAGCACAATGTCCCCAAAACGACTCAACGCCACATTTGGCTGTATGCAACGTCCACAGTGAGATCCTCAAAAAATTTCACTGCAAATTGCCCACGCCACGCCACACAGGTGATACGCAAATACCTTGTAGGAGTGTTAATTGGACATTCCCTTTTCTTATTAAAGTTCAGTTTTATACTTTGACATTTTGTTTCCAGTTGTTCTATTTTTTTGTTTTCTAAGCTCCTTTTCAGTCAGGTATTTAGTTTAGTTCAGTATTTTTGTCTAGTTGTGTTATTAAGGTTGCCATCCATTCTATCCTCAATCCAGCCAAGCTCACCTGTCACATTCATTCCATATCAATGCAGGTGTGTTCACTCATTACAACCCCATACCTGATTATATTAATTAGTTTCTACTGTTAAGTAACCATTCCTACATTGTCGCCTGCGGCCAATTTGCAGTGCATTATTGTCAGTCCATAATGAAATGGTAATATGGTACAATGGCGGCCCCCAGTAAACAGCTAGATCAATGTAGGTCTGTACTACCTCGGACTGGTTTTACCATTTGGCTCTTATAAAACATTCCATGTCCTAGGCTTTCCAGAAAGGACTCAGAATTGTCTATTTGGTCATAGATAGATTTTTTTTAAAGTTAATTATCCTTTAAGAGAAAACAAGGAATATGACTTACAATGCGCTTCCTCCCCCAATGAAACATTTTTGTTGATGTTCCTGTGGTAGTACCATTATACATCATTTTCTAAGTGATGGAACTCAAAATAAAGAGTTCGCATCTTCCTGACGAAATACTCAATCTTTATGTTACTACTTGAAAGTGTGTTGTCTTATTTCGGAGTTCATTATAATAAAACACTACAGTTTGCAGCTGTCAGTATTTCGGAATATGTCCAATTCTTTTACTTTATGGTTGTCAAATTTGGTATGTGCGTGCATGTATGTGTGCATGTATAAATTTATGTACATATGTGTTTGGGTATGTGTGTTTGTTGTTTGTTCGTTTGTGTGCGTGTGTGTGTGTGTGTGTGTGTGTGGTGTGTTTGTGCGTGCGCGATTGCACGCGCTTGCGTAAATTAGTGTGGGCGTGTGCTCGTGCTAGTATGTGATGGCTATCGCCGATCATCTCCCCCACTCCTCGGTACGGATTTACGCCCCTGAACCAAACCAAACCAAACAGTGTATTATTGACCACTGAACCATCCAAACTTCTCCAGTATCATGTTAGGCCTATTCTCATAGATTGCTCATGTCTCTCTGTCCGTCTCTCAAATTTTGCTATTCTTATGTTACTGTGAGGGGGGGGGGGGGGGGCATCACACCATTATGCAAAATGTAGCCTAATTAGCACATAAGGCTAAAACACATTTCAATATCATAAACTGTGGATATTTCTTGAATGCAGTTTGCAAAGAATAAATACATATTGTGTGCATTTCTGAGGTACCTGCTTATACCTCGTCAATACCACATTTTTTTACAGAAAGGACTTGTATTAAAGTACTATCTAGTAAAAGAGGAAAAAAAAATCTCCTTGGAACAATATAGCTTGACATTCGGTTTTTAAGAGTTCAGAAAATAAGTACTTGAATGTTAATTTCTTTTTTTCTCATGATAGTCTCTTGAGGCATACAGTGAAAATTATTTCGAAACTTAAAGTAGAGTCATATTTAAGAAAAAAAACTGTTAAAAATGGATAAAAAAGAAAGGCACATCATAAAAAAAGTGGAAGGTAAAATGGCAAAAATTGAATCATTCAAAGCTAAAGCTAATGCTAAAGCTAATGCTAAAGCTAATGCTAAAGCTAATGCTAAAGCTAATGCTAAAGCTAAAGCTAAAGCAAGAGCTTGCTTTTCAATGAAAATACATCCATGTCGTATTCTATTCAACAATAGCCCATCATATTACACAGCAGAATTTAAGCACTTCTACAAATTCAGTTCAACCCAATACTGGGAATAATATCATCTTTAACAAATGGAAACTTAGACCGCAGTAAGGTTGGTCATTACAATAGGATACTGGCCATGAACTAAAGCTGACTGTGCTACAAAATCCCAAGTCTATTGCTACATAGTATCTCTTATTCTCACTTTTTGCCCAAGCACCACACAGAAATTGAAGTTTTACTACAACAAAATAGTATTTGTTTAATCTCACTACATTTTGCCAGGCGATGGGATATATATAAATAACAGAATTAAAGTGCCTCACATGTCTGGAGAAGCTCTCAATATATAGGAATGGAATGATTAAAGTCCAGGGGTTGTTTCTCAAAGATCCTAAGTCGAACTTAACTCTAAGTTGGACTTAAAAATTATGGAGAGCCATTTGTAGCCTTAAAACAAGATATATTCAAAAGCGAAAAAGCAAGTATTTTAGACTTTTTAAATAAATTCCACATCAAGCACATGAAATCTCCTTGATAATAGAAAATATGAATGATTTGAATCAACATTTTTTGCCTTTTAAAATAACTTTTGCTAAATATTTTCATAGCTGCTTTCCATAATTTTGAAGTCCAACTTAGAGATAAGTTCAACTTAAGATCTTTGTGAAACACCCCCCAGGTCTTTGGTCTTAGGTGTAGAGAGTTGGTCTGACTGTTCTCTTCCAGCTCTCCTCCCATCTTAGGTCCTGAAATGTCTTGAGGTTCTCTCGGAAGACCTTCAGCTTGCCTTGCTTGGATGGGAAACTAGACAGCAGATCCTAGGATAAACATAAACAATTCAATTGGAGCAGTATCAGTTAGACACATTTCGAAACTTAGAAAGCCTGTAAAATAGAATTGGTTTATACATGCAGTGAACTTTAGTTATGGTTCATTGTAAAAGGCATCACTAATGGTGATGGAAGTTGATAGAATTTGGTTTCTGTTTTCAACTACTGAAAGGGGAATCGATACAAAAATTAATATCATAGATGGCCAAAATAATAGGCTCATTTTTTGACAGAAAATAGAAGTGTTACGTGAAAGAAAGGGGATGTATTAGTGTCCACATACATGTACTATTCATTTACTAGCCTTGAGGGAGATATTGGAATGCATTGCCCAAACTACATGAAGAATCACATTTCAAAGGTCAATAATGATGGAAAAATGGCTCTACAAATGCAGTACAAGTATGTTTGATTTCCCTCAAAAATAAGAGTAAGTCAACATAGTAACTATTATCTATATCAGAATGTGACACATTCGAAACAAACCACTTATATGTCATTGAACTTCAAACAACAGGAAGTTTTATAGCAACTTACCACTTTGTAAATTTACACATGAGATGTAAAATGAGTGCAAACAGCAAGACATAATGAGTACGTTTACAGCAGGTGTATAAAGGCAATATACCGGTATGGGAAATTAGGGTATCAGGTATCAGGTATCGGTATATACACGCCCATAACTTCAACAATCAGCAATGTGCAGAAACAGTACAAAGTGCATATCAATTCAAGTACCGGTATACAAATTTACAAAAGCTTAGACAATATCACTGACAATAGTTTTATAATTCACAACTACATATACCAGTTGTAATTTATATATTGAAATACATTTTCTTCTTCAACTGGTAGCACAGTATAAAGTAAGTTATCTCCCAATCACAAGCAGGGGATTTCAGAATATGCAGTTCTGATATATAATTTCGAAACGGGAAAAGCAAATCAGTTGATTGTAGTCAAGAAACATTGTTTTAAAGCTAAAGTAATATCAGTCTTGAGAGGGAGCTATACAACATACAGAGTTTATTATTTATAATTTCATCACTTTAGACTCGATTTCAACCGCGACAACGATCATTGAATATTGTAAAATCGCATATGCTTCCAATATGTTCATTTGAACCAAAATCATGACCCCATACCCCAACTTTGTTTTACCTTTAGTCTTAAGGGGAAAATCAAAATACAGAGTAACTGTCATCAGAGTAAATGTGAGGACACCTATGTCTCCGCCCCCATCTCCGCCTCTAGACTAGCGAAAATCATACCAATTTTAGTGATAACAAATCCCTGTCTGATTAAATCATAATAATAATAATAGTGGGTTCTTGTATAGCGCTCATGTCAGTCAGATTTAACCCTCCTGGCGCTCCCAATTATTACCCTGGCTTTAGCACGGCTGCCATACGGTGCTCTAGCATTTCAAGGAATAAATTCCTACCAGGTACCCATTTACTTCACCCGGGTGGAGTGTGGCAAATGTAGATCAATGTCTTGCCAAAGGACATTAGTGCGTCGGCGGCGGGACTCGAAACGCGGACCTTGTGATCGACAGTCCGGCGACATATCCACTCGACCACAACACCTCTACTTAGAAGATCATGCAAAGAAATTTGTTTTTTGTGTAAAATATTATCAAATTCAATTTAATTACCTTCATTACGTTTTCCTTTTGCTTACCTGGAATTGACTTGATAGTTCTTCTGCATCTTTGAAAATCAGGCCATTCTCTTCATGTTTCACCAGCTCACCAATGCTAAATATAGGTTATAGACGGAGGGAGACATAACGATAAAAATGTATTAGATCCAAAATATGTGGATTACTTGAATCTGTAAAGAGAAACAGTAAGTTTTTACTCCATAAGAAAAACAATTAAACTCTTGGATAGATTAATTGACTCATCATCTGCAAGGGTTCAATGCATGGATTGTTCATTCTTTAATTTCTTCATTGTCCTTAATTGCTCACACATAGAAAGCTGGGTAATGTGTTGTGAGGTTGATTTCAGTCATACAAGCTTTAAATTCATTCTTTTTCAATCGAACATAGGTCCCCATGCATTGCAACACAAAATGTACTTTAGAATTACGATCAATTCCTGTGACCTGTAACCAACCACTATGTAAATATTTGGAATGTATAATGTATAAAATATCAATTTCCCCCTGAACAATCACCCCCCCCCTCCCCTTCCTGGAAAAGTATCCCCCCCCCCCCCATGGACAACCCCCTTGAAAATTACCTCCATAGGACAATTAAATTACCCTCACCCTAAAAATAACCCCCTAGGAAAATTATCCCCCCCCCCCCCCCTCCAGGACAACCAAGGATAACATACATTGCAACACAAAATGCACTTTGGAATTACAATCAATGCCTCTGTGACCTGTAACCGACCACTATGTAAATATTTGGAATGTGTAACTTACCACTTGAAGTCTATTGCACAGACTGGGAGGCCGCACCCAAACATATCAACCACTTTCATAGGTAGGTCCAGGCCACTTGATGAATAGTGTAAACACACCCCAAGGTCTGCAGAACCTGTGTCAAGTGTGAACAATACTCTTTTAGCAATTCATATTCATATTCATATTTATTTCATTTCCAACAGAAAGGTAAACAAAGATATTACATTTGATTTCATACATAATTCATTTTTTCAAGAAACTATACAAATAAACTTTGCACATAATAAAATTATTACAAGAATTTCTTAACTTCTGAGGAAATGGGGGGGGGGGGATCCACTAAAAAGCAGTGCTTGTAGTTTGTGGATCCCCCGATGTATGAATAGCATCAGTAAGTTTGGTAGAGTGACATGTATTTTAATCTTTTTTGTGACATCTTCAGCAAGCTAAATGAAAATATTTTTTTTATCTGTCCTTGTGAGTGTTTCACAAAGACTAAAATCAACTTTAAGTTGGACTAAACTATGGCCGGCTGTTCATGCCACTAGTTGCTCTCACCATTATTATGTTTCGATATTATTTTTCCCTTCAATAATGAACTATCGAAAAAGGTAAATTCTATAGATTTATGACCATGTTTTGTACGTCCCTTGGAGACCAATACCAGTAAATGGTGATAGTAAACTGTGGCATGAACGTCCTGCCATAGTTAAGTCCAACTTAAATCAATCTTAGTTTTTGTGAAACACTGCCCTTATCTTTCAAATGAGCCCATGAAGTCTAAGATTTTCCAAGGATCTTCACTTTCAGTATTGAATAGAAAGCTAGCTACATATTCAAACTGGACAATAATGAAGTTCATTAGACTTGATAGGAATTTTATTTAAAGCAAACCTCAGTTTCTATTAAATGAATTAATAATCAATAACATAAATAAGTGCATCAAACTATAGTAGCATTCTAAATATTTCTATTGAGAAGAATATGATATTTTTTTCCATATTTCCATTTCCCCCCAAATTATTAGTTTTTTATTTGTCCATGTCAACCCAAATGGGAGAACCAAATGGATACTGACAGCATTTTAACTCCTGTTTGAAACCTTCCTATTCTGTAAAAGAGTATTGGTCATCCGTATGCTTGTAAGTAAGCAAATAGGGGACCGACGGCTTTAAGTCCTTTCCGAGAGACTTGGTAATGAGGATTAATGACTGACCAAAGGGCACTGGCGCATCGACTTTGTTCGAAGCTGGGACCTCCCGGTTACGAGACCACTGCTCTATACCACGGGCCATCGCGCCTCCTGAAACTATCTGAGAGACTTGCCCCATAACCTCAGGTAGTCCTTGGCAGCTAGCCAAGGTGTACATATCTTGCCATGCCCCAACTCTCCCTCCTCTATGACCCCAAGCTCAAGATATATCAGGACTTTAAAGGCATTGTTTAACAAAGTTAAATCTGAGATGCATGGCCCTACGTGTTATCAGTGTCTGTTATAGTAATATTGAAGCCCAAAAAAAATTGCCTCAAAATTTTTTAAAATTTTGAGTGACCGGTTTTACCATACTCATTTTCCCCAATAGACTGTAGTGTTATAAGAAAACAAAAAATTAAATTCTATTTCCAATCATAAATATCTTGATAATCAAACGGGCGATCGGCTTGTAAAAGTCATGGGATTCCTGAACGACCTAAAGGTTTATAACTATGATCGCAGCATGAGCTAAATCCAAGATTTTTTTTAGAATCTGAGACAAAGTTATCGAGTCACTTTAATGGTATCAAAAGGGATGAGTTCCTTTGAGAACCTAATGTGAGAGACTTGCCTAATAACTTTGGATAGTCCTCAGCAGCTAGCCAGGGTGTACAGATCCTGACATGCTTGAACTGTTTCTTTTCTATCAGTCCCTTGTAGTAGTCCTTCTGGGGACCCTTTCCTGTGATAGCACATACTAGGGCAGGTAATTTGGAGTTGGCAACACCTTCAGTCTTTGCAGCCTCGTATTCTGAAACATAAGTAGAAGTAAGAATTTTCATGTTATTGTTGATGAAAATGTACTTATAGCTACTTGCACCCTCCTTTTAGCAAACAATGCCTAATCGGTAACCATTGGTCCCCCATGATCCCCTTTTTTAATGTTAATTGAGAGCTGATTTGATGAGATAACCACCTGTCAGTGACCATGCAGGAAGGTCTAATTCATCCTGGCCAAACTAGTGCAGTGGGGCTTTAATCATTACTGGCCCAATATTACAAGCAGATTTCTTAAAGCTATATATATCTTGAGTCTTAGTAATAGAGAGCTTTCAGAAAAATATGCTTGCAATCATTTCAAATTGTACGAGATGGACTGTATGGAAAAACAAATTAAGAAATAAGTTAATAAAACTTACCGAAAATCAGTCCCCACTGGATTGGGACAACCACCTTGATGTATTTATACAATCTCATTATTCAACTCTTACACATTTTCTGCCAAATTCCTTTAGCAGATAACAATTATTTCTAGCCTTAAATATTCTTTGTTTCATTTGAATCAGTCAAAATGTCTCGTCACTACCACAACCCTGGTTTATTTTTACAGAAGCAATTCCTTCTTTGTGTAAGTTTCATCTGCAGTCAAATTATCATTTAATCAATACTGAACTGCTGTAAACACATATATTAGAAGCTTTCAAGCAACAGGATCATTTACAAAGCTCTAAATATATTATAGTGAGTATGAGTACAGTACTTTATAGGGGGTCGAATTTTAACTTCTTAAAAAGCGGCTCCACTGACAATTTGTCACAAATAGTTTTCCCAAATTAATTTTCTGCACTGTGTTAAGCTGTCCTTTCTATGATACTCACTCTCTAATGCACTTAGGAGGATGGAAAAATCTTCATCTTCAGTCCAGCTGGTACTGCTAACGAGCAGAGCTGGTCTTCTGTCGAGCCTCCTCGCTTCACCGGACGCCATGGATGTGAAGGCTGTCTCCCCCTCCATTCCAGATTCAGACGCAAACTCGGGATAGTCTGCAGCCAGCTTTGTGAATAACTGGGAGTACAAGAGAATGTTACATAAGAAGAAACACGAGACATGGTAACTTCTGATTTACTTGTGCCAGTTTCCATCGTAAGTGATGCATTGGTGATGTTTAAAGTGACTCGGTAACATTGCCTCAGATTCTGAAACAAAATCCTGGATTTAGCTCATGCTGCAATCATAATTATAAACCTTAGGACAGTCTGGAATCCCATGACTTTTACAAGCCGATCGCCTGTTTTCCTAACAGTTTTTAGAACACTACAGTCCATTGGGGAAAATAAGTATGGTAAAACCGGTCACTCAAAGATTTCTACTTTTTTGAGGCACTTCATGATCATTTTGAAGCACAAATATTACACCATATCACAGACTCTGATAACACGTAGGGCCATGCATCTCAGCCTTTGAAGTAAAATATGTGAGGGGTTCATCCACAAAGGGTGGCAATACGTGTGATATAATTCAACATTTTTTATTACCAACCAATAACCTGGGATCTATAACATTGAAGAAGAAAATAAAATCATGTTTATGGTGCCCTTGCATATGACTCTGCAACTGTACTGTTTGGCCTAAGCTGGAACTGCAACCATGTGTATATTGTTGACTGAAATAAAGCTCAATCTCCCATGATTTACCTCATGCTGCTCTTCGATTGGAGTCTCTCTGAACTTTGCTGCTGGTCTGTCATACAGTGTGATTGGACGTTTGATCTGCCAATTATCCATCAGATCCGTCTTCATTGCTTCCGTCACACAGAAATGGCCATCAGCCTGGCGGCCAAAGAAGCGCTCGAACCTGAAGATTAAAAATATAGAGTTATATGAGCTTCCTTTAAAAAATGGATACAATTAAATAGAAAGTTTGAGTTCAGAAAAAAACCAGTTTTATGGTATTGTTCATGTATGTAAACTGTGATTATTTCTCATTTCTTTGAGATTTACTCAACAATAAGGATGTGCAATGTAGACAACTTTATAGCTGTGCAATAAAGAAAAAACACTACCGGGTATTCATAAATCGCAACGTGCTTGATCCTATTTTGATTGCATTTGTATTTGTCTAATGCCATCTTCACTTTTTCCCTTTAGCAAAGAATATGAGTTTTAATAATAGCTCAAGTATAGCTTCTGGCTGCACATGAAGCATCAATTCCATAGCACAACAAGGTAATCCTGGCATTAAAAAGCACAGGACAGTGCCAGACTTGCAGGGGGAAACTTCTGACACAGAACAAAGGCACAAGAATTTCTCTTTTTTCAAAAAGTCAGCTTAGCAATTCATTTACTCCTCACAAACCAATGACTGTGTAATGTGCATAGAATATCGGCTTGACTGTTTACTGTGCCATGAATTGTTTTCAATCATTTAAAAAAAAATTGGTGTTGTACTTATGTGAAGATGCCTTGCATTTAGCTGGCATTAATAACACAACTCAAAGTCAGATGAAAGAGGCCTAAGAACAAAAGAATGACTTACTTTTCACCGAACCTGACAAGGGGGTGGGTCTTTCCGAGGGTTATGCCCAGTATTGTGTAGCCATAGTTGTGCATATCCACCACAAACTTGCTGCCATAGACCTTGCATGCAAACCAGGCAACAGCTAGGGTGGGGATGGCTGGAGGGTTCTGGGGATAGTAAGAATAAAAAACCATTTCATTTTTAATGGGCACAAGTCAATGCCGAAAGACACCTAAAGACAATTGAAATTGGACATACTTTAAGCCTGTGCATGTGTGGTACAGCTGCATAAATTTGCTATAAAGCTTATGTACTATAAGTTTAAAGGGCAAGTAAACAAGCAAATGGGCAAGGAAAGTGACATCGAACTTGCCAAGCCCTGTTCTTCAAACATAGCTTTTTCCAGATGCTCCAACATAATTACTTTGGCAACAATTACTCCATGCTTTATTTCGTAAAAAATATATAGGGTTATGGACTTTATGGTTAGGGTCACCCTAGGGTTTAAGATTACCGGTATGCTTAGTGTTAGGGTCAAAGGACAATCCAATCCTTGTAATATTAGTTTATTTGCATGAAAGCAGAAAAATGAGATAAACAAAATGGAGCAATTGTCACAGAAGCATACCGTATACGTGTCATATGACACTCCTTCTCATACCCCTTTCTAAATGGCCTGATTTTCATCAGATGCATCCGGTAACATCCGATGAAACGACCAGTATTAATGAAAAAGGCGATTAAATAGCCGATGAAAAGAAGAGAAATAGGTGATTAATTTCACCTGCTCAAGAGCAGGTGAAATTCTCATTCTATCGGTGTGACACCGATGAAACAGCCACGGTGAAAGCGTTCGGGAGAAACAGCGATTAAAATGGTCTAATGTCGCAGTGTACGCGCGCTTTATAGTAACCAGCTATGTTTGTTTACTTTTTGTTGAACATACTGCATGCCAGCTAGACGGAGCGCGGGCTTAATAATTACGTAATAATTCTTCACTTCCGGGATGGGCTCGCCAAAGCGAGTGAATTTCACCGGCAGTATGAAAGCGACAGGGTGAAAACTGCGGTTTCACCTTTGTTCACATAAGGAAAATTAAATCGGTATTTTCATCGGTGACTCCGATAGAAGCCAGCTTGAAAGCAGTATAAGACTCTTTCAACTCTTTATATACCACAACAATATACATGTAGTCTCCCTGTGTAATATAGTATTCATCATGGAATAGATATATATACAAAAGGCTTGAAATTAAATATTATGTTTCCTGTGCAAGAATAACCTATGATACCAGTGTTAAAAGGGTTGTCATGGAGCTGATAGAGTCCAGAAATGGGTAATTTCGCACATAGCAGTCCATGCTATTAAAATGCATGTGTAGCAAAGAAGTGACCTTGCAGAGAGGCAAAGAAGTGTTAATAAGGCTTTAGAATTATGTGCACAGACCACTCTGGATATCTTACCTGTACAAATATGTGTGAAGGCAGCTTCATCTTGAAGAAGAGCACCCAACAGAGTTGAAAGCACTGGTAGATCACCTTCACTCCATATCTCACAATCGACGGCAAAACTAGAATAAATCACAATTGACAAACAATTCACAGAACCAACTTTTATGACCCCTGTACATTATGAAAGGTGAGAATGGGAGCACATTTATATCTAGGAACACTATTTGCTCCTGCCCTTTGATAGATGGAAGCACCTGCCCCCCCCCCCCCTCAAACTTCCCTTGCCCATTATAGACAGGGTTTAGAGTAAGAGCTACATGTACACAGCTAAACTTAATTCTATAATTCTCATAGGGTGCTAATATTATACAGTTATTGACTGGCAGGGGGTGTAATATAACATTATTTGGACCGCTCAAGGGAGTTATATTTCCCAAGTGGTTATATTTTCCCGAAGCGCGCAGCGCTGAGGGAAAATATGGTCACGAGGGGAAATATAACTCCCTTCAGGTCCAAAGAGTGTTATATACCCCCTGCCAGTCAATAACTGTTATATTAGATAGCCCTTTTTTGTGGGGGGGGGGGGGGGGTCCAAAAAGTGTTTGCCAAAAAAAAAAATTCCCCTTTTTTTTCGGAAATTACAGAAAAATAATCTGTCGAGATAGTTCAAGAAAAAGAAAAAACCTTACAAAAAAAAAATTATGAAACAATTTTTGGGGAAAAAAAAAAAAATCGAAAAAAAAAAAATCTTACCCCCAAAAAAGCATTTTTCGGGAAAAAAAAAATTACCCCCAAAAACATATTTTGGGGGAAAAAAGAAAATGTGGAAAAAATAATTTCAAGGGAAAAAAAAAATCATGAAAAAAAAATATTGAAAAAATGAAATGACCCTCGGTAATGGTGTAATGTGTGTAATTGGTGACATACAGTCCTCAAGAGGGCGACATGCATTGATTAAAAATATATTCATTTCACCAGCTGGTTAATATAACACCGAAAAGTGACCGGCCAGGAAAATATAACAATTTGGATCCTCACAATTGATATCACGTGACGAGCTCTGGACCAATCACATCTCGGTATCTGTCTAAGCTATCTAATATAATTTGTTACTTTACATGGCGAAAAGAATCCATATATCGAATGCACTAAAATTGTTGTGATATCAAAGCAAAACAACTTTTTTCTTTTAGAAGATAAGCACTTCAAATTTTGATTCATTATCAAGCTATTTAATGAAAATGTTATGAAATCCATCATCTTCTTGATATTGATACTTACATTTGAAAGAGGGTGGATCCGCCATCACATGCAATGTAATTTGTTTGTTACTGAGTAAATCCTCATGAGGTTTGGAGCCTACAGGTAGGTTTGAAAATAAAAAGTACATACAGTTGAAAAAAATGGATGGAACAGAGCACAACTCATTTTGTACACCTCAAATGAGTGCCATTTTCATTTGATTGAACTTTTCGAAACTGCAGGCTAGCATCAGTTACAAATTGGTATAACAGTATCCTTTTGTTGTACAGAAAATGTTAATGATATCTCGGTCTCTTGTTTGGAACCAGAGTAGCAAGGATCAATATCAGCCTTACTGTAAGTACTGTATTGCTGGATCATACAGTACATAACATAACGGACAAAAACAGAAAGCATTAATTTCACATGTTGACTGACAGTATTAAAGTACGGTAGACCCATACTCCATAGTCTTCTAGAATTAGACACATGACCAAGAACATTTTCTTCTTGGAAACCACAATTTATTTTAGACGATGTCTAAATTATCCACCAAGCAACAATTATTTAAATTAGTATTGGTAGTAGAGTAAAGGAGGGGGTTTTCGGCCACTTAAGACAAAATCCTATTTTTTTTACTCTTTACTTCCTATTTTATTTCGTAAGTCTCGACGGAGACTACGTGAGAAGCCCGCTCTAGCATGTAAGTCAATTCGTTCCTCGCGTGGTCAATGATTGCAGGAAACTACAATCGACTCGTCAATCTATCGATTTTTCGTCAGTTTTTCTGGGTTTTAGTTAGCCCCTTCCAATTTGGATTATTTTCTGGATTATACTGATTCTGCTAGACAACTTTCAATTCATGTCTACTTCTAAGAAGAAAATGTCAGAAGGAGATAAATCGGGCTCGGCCGAGCGGGAGCGTGCTCCCGGCAAAGCAAACGAGAACGTGCCGTCGCATCCAGCCAAGCCTGGTGCGGGGGTTTCACTAGCCTGTCATCCTGAGCCCAAGCGCTCGACAGTGCCGACTCAGCAAAAAGCGTCTACCTCACTAACTACGCCGAAAAAATGTAGTTCCAAGAAAAAGCATGTGGAACCAAATCCCGAGATCGAATCGCTCAAAGAGCGGCTGAATCACTTTGAGGGACTCCTCACTAAAGTGGTAGATGCATTGCCCAAACAGACATTTACGTCTACGTCTTCAGAAAATCCGCATTTTCAGCGGGAAGGCGACAACGTTTTCACAACGGCGGATGAATTTTGGGATAACCATGATCATGACATGGCAGCGGGTAGCAGCGGGCCGCTGCAAGCCGATTACGGGGGAAACCCCGGTGAGGAACACGGAGGAATCCCCGGTGAGGAACCCGCTGGATTTGGGCTTGACAGCGACGACGCTCCGGTCCCCTCCTTCGCCGCAAAATTTGCAGTGCCAACAGGCGTGGGGAAGCCGCTCGATTCAGAGCTAGCAAACTCCGCATCTTATTTGATGGGACATAATTTGGAGGAAAAAACAATTGAAGAAACAGCTACCAAGTACCCATGCCCTGCAAATTGCATTTTGATGGACGCTCCAAAAGTGAATACCGCAATTTGGGAGAATCTCCCCGCCGAGACTCGTAGCAGAGATTTGAAACTTCAGCGGATTCAAAAAGCACTGACAAAGGGAATCGGAGCTTTCGTCCAAACCTTGGACTCTCACAACATGTCTGATACGCAACAGGATGCTCTCGCACTCCTCTGTAATGCAAACTTTGAAATGAACTGCATGAGAAAAGACATGATTAGACCAGACATGAATAAGAACTATACTCATCTTTGCAAGCCGGCTAACCCGGTCACAAAGCTCCTGTTCGGGGATGAACTGGGCAAAAAGGTCAAAGACCTTCAGGACCAACATAAGGCGGCTGCAGGTGTTATGAGAGGTGCCGCAAATTTTCCAAAACCCAGCTACCATCCTTACAGGAGATATACAGAGGCTGCAAAACGTCAGGCCCGAGATGCTGGTTGGTTTTCCAACACAGCAAGACACAACCCTGGAGCGGGTAACATGAACACTAACAGGCCTTTTTTAGGGCGCCGCCCGTCGTGGAGGGGCAGACCAGCCCCACACACTCAAACACCCCAGACGGGCCAACGCAGGCCTTTCCGAGGAGGGAAAAAGTAGTCCCAGACGCTAAACAGGCACCTGACTCCAGTGATCAGGTGAGTCAAAATTGTTCTTCTATTTCTAGTGAATACACACTGCCTGTCGGAGGTCGAATAAAGTCTTTTCATGATAAATGGCGTGCAATTTCCAATGATCCATACATTTTGAGTGCTGTTCAAGGCTACAAAATTGAGTTTGATCCGGCTCGATTTCCCCCCTCGAGGGAGAAACCTTTTCATACATTCAAGCGTAATGCTTTAGAGTCGAGACAAATTAGCTCAGAGCTTCTGAGTCTCGAGACAAAAAATGTGATAGAACGCTGTAGTCATTCACAAGGAGAATTTATCTTTAACATCTTTACCAGACCCAAAAAGAGTGGGGGTCTTCGACTAATTCTTGACTTGTCTGAATTGAATAAAAGCGTAGCCTATCAGCACTTCAAGATGGATAACATTAATTCAGCAGTTTTACTGCTATCGCCAGATTGTTTCATGGCTTCTCTCGACCTCCGAGATGCATACTATTCAGTACCAATTCACCCAGAGTCGCGCAAATACTTGCGTTTCATCTGGGAAGGACAGTTATGGCAATATAAAGCACTCCCAAATGGGCTTAGCTCTGCTCCTCGCCTATTCACCAAACTGCTGAAACCGGCCTTTGCCTCACTACACAATGCAGGCCATGTTGTACTAGGCTATTTAGATGATACCCTTATTATCGGTAGGTCTCACAGACAGGCCACAAAGGCGGTTACAGCTACCTCAGAACTGCTCTCTGAATTGGGGTTCATTATTCATCCCACTAAATCGGTGATAGAACCGGTTCAAGAAATCAAATTCCTTGGGTTTGTGCTTAACTCTATTGACATGACCGTGACCTTGCCTTCAGATAAGAAGGAAGAACTAAAGGAAACATGTACAGCATTACTTGAAAATGCCACTCCCTCCATTAGGCAAGTTGCAAGGGTTATAGGAAAACTAGTTGCAGCTTTTCCGGCAGCTCAATATGGGCTTTTGCATTATCGCGAACTAGAAAGAGGAAAGATAGTTTCATTGAGACTAAATAGGGGCCACTTTGATAGGCCCATGAAACTCTTGGACAAAGCTAGAAGGGAACTACTTTGGTGGATTGGTCATATTGACTCTTCTTTTCGGCCGATAAACCGTAGAAACCCTGATTTGGAATTGCGCTCAGACGCCAGTGGGGCAGGATGGGGTGCAACTAACATGACCACCCATACGGGGGGTAGGTGGAACAGTCAAGAGGCAGTGATAGCGAAGGGTAATGAAATTAATTATTTAGAGACTCTTGCTGCTGGCCTGGCACTTAAATCGTTCTGTTCCAATATGTCTCATAAGCATGTCCTTTTACGGCTTGACAATACCACCGCGGTAGCGTATGTCAATGCAATGGGGGGCGTGAAATCCCCACATTGTAATGAGGCTGCCACACACATATGGAATTGGTGTATAGAAAGGGACATTTGGATAACAGCAGCACATTTAGCGGGCCGGGATAACGTTGAAGCAGACACTATGTCCCGTAAATTCAATGATAGGACAGAATGGATGCTCAATGAAAGGGAGTTTGAACGCATTGCTAAACATTTCGGTATCCCTGACATAGACCTGTTTGCCTCTAGGCTTAATGCACAGGTGTCTACTTATGTTTCATGGAGACCAGATCCCCATGCCTTGGCAGTGGATGCGTTCACACTAGATTGGAGGAATCTGAATTTCTATGCCTTCCCTCCTTTCTGTCTTGTCCCAAAATGCATTCAAAAAATTATGGCCGATAAGGCAGTAGGCTTACTAGTAGTCCCGAATTGGCCTACACAGGCTTGGTTCCCTCTCTTGAAGGATATGATTATTGGAGAACCTTTGTTCCTACCCAAAAGTGAGAAACTTCTCAGACAGCCTGTGTCAAACCTCTCTCATCCTTTGTCTAATCTTGATCTTCTTTGTTGCAGGCTTGGAGCTGCTGCTACCGACAACAAGGCCTGAGCGCAAAAACTGTTGATATCATCTCTGCATCTTGGAAGGACTCAACGAAAAGACAATATAAAGTGTACATAAAGAAATGGGAGTCATTTTGTAAGCAGAGGAATTTAAACAAACTCAAGACAAAAGCTGAGAATGTGTTAGAATTCTTAAGTGATTTGTTCTATAATGGCAATGCTGGCTATAGTGTCATTAACACGGCAAGGAGTGCATTGGCCTCCTTCTTAACTCTGGAGAATGATTCTCATACAGTTGGATCGCACACAACTATTAGCCGTTTCATGAGGGGAGTTTTTCATCTTAGGGCCCCAGTTTCTAGATATACCAAGACTTGGGATGTTGGAATTGTACTGAACTACTTACGGGAGCTATATCCAGCAACCAAGCTCCCGCTTAAGGATTTGACACACAAGCTGGTTATGCTTCTAGCACTTACTTCAGCACAACGAGTTCAAACATTATACCATATGAACTTGGACAAGATGAATTTGACAGACAAGAATATGGAATGTGTTCTCGACAAGAAACTTAAGCAAAATCAACCTGGGCGTAGTGGTTGCTCCATTCAGGTATCGGCTTATAAAGCGGATAGCCGCATTTGTGTCATTCGGTATTTGAGAGAATATCTTCGACGAACCAAGGATATTAGGGGTCAGGAGAGATTCCTTCTAATTTGCTATCGCAAGCCATATCATCGTGCGTCTTCTCAAACAATTTCGCGTTGGATAAAATTAACGATGAGAAGCGCAGGTGTCAACACCGAGTTTAAAGCACACTCAACTCGCGCAGCATCCACGTCGACTGCCAAGAGGATGGATGTACCTCTTAAAGACATACTGGCTCAAGCAGGCTGGGCAAAGGAAAATACTTTCCAAAAGTTCTATGACAGGCCTTTGGAGAGCAAGGGCAAGAAGTTTACGGATGCAGTGCTTAACAGCAATTAATAGAGTGTCTAAAGATACGAACTCGTGTTCCTACAGCAAGGTTATAATATATATTCAGTAGTAAGTTAGCATTACTTTCTGTTTATAGAGTTTCTCTATGCCAGTTTATGCAATTAGGTAATTGCTCATAGAATCGAATGGGACTACTGGCTTTAAATTCTCACGTAGTCTCCGTCGAGACTTACGAAATAAAATAGAAAGATTAAATGAAAACTTACCGTTTGAAATTTGATCTTTATTTTATGAGGAAGTTGAAGAGGGAGATTACGTGCCCTCCGCTTCCCTCCCAAACGGTTAAAGTTCGAGTTTTTTCTTTTATAGAGATCTTTCTATTGATTACAACGTTGTTGGATTAGTAGTCCCATTCGGCTTCAAAGATTGACTTACATGCTAGAGCGGGCTTCTCACGTAATCTCCCTCTTCAACTTCCTCATAAAATAAAGATCAAATTTCAAACGGTAAGTTTTCATTTAATCTTTCTATTTATTATCATTTCTTGTTCAAATCATGAAGCAAATATTATTATATAAACAAAAAAAGAATCCCAGAAAAAAATCACGAATTGCCATAACAATATTCATTTCAATTTACACTGTTTCGGAACCAGTTATCGGCATAGCGAACCAGTTTTCGGCCGCATGTACAAAGTCAATAGGAAGCGCGCACTAGCGGGCGGAGCAGGTATCCCACGCCGGAGCTCCCCGGTGCTCGCCACGCCGAAAACTAGCTCTGCGGTGATAGGAAATTGGAATCTGAATTAGACAGAGATATCGTGTGAGCGTTGCGGTGTCCGGCTGCATTGATTTAATACATGCGATGAGATACTTTTGTCTTGCGACTCACACAAAATCGCGCTCTAAATCTGAAAAATACTTGAAATAAAGCTCATTTTATGGTACCCATATTTCTTACAGACACGCGTAAGATACTCGATTTTCCAGATTCGGGTAGCGGGAACGCCGATTACATAATGTACATCGCTAAATTGTGATATTTTAGGATATATTTTCCATTGCAAATGTGGTTCTTCAGTGACTCTGGTATGGTATGTGTGGGATATATGATATGCTATTAAGTATTATGCGATGTATTTTAAAGGTATTATGTCCCATTTGCAGGCCAAAAAAATGAAAAAGTTAAATTACAACTGCATTTGAAAGATAATACTAATTTAGAACTTCCCTAAAAAAGGTGGGGCTTGAAAATGTCTTCAAGTGGGAAAATAACAACTATTAGTTGTCAAATCGACTTTAGGGCTATAGAGCCCAAAAGTAATAGTCTTGATTTTCAGACAATTGTACCGAATGGTCATACGTTTTATGCTGCGCAAAGATTCAATCAGTTTAATCTTGGCCATCACAAGAAGTGGGTTATTGATGTAGACAAATGCTCATGTACCCTTTACAACTCTTTTCATGTATGTTATTACCAAAGAAGAAAAAAGCCAGTCAGTCACTCAATAGTGTCTGACATTGAAGTCTAGCAAGTAAACGGGTTTCCTTGCATAATTTGAATATGAGGACACTGCTAACCTTTAAATTTCACAGATAGGACATACATGACATATTCATAATTCCTGCAAAGTTCTACAGAATTTGAGGTTGGCTGCAAAAGGGACATAGTACCTTTAAAGGGATTTTACCATGCATCCAACGGATCGGCCGAAAACTGGTGATGGTCGATTATATTACCCCCTCCTTTACTCTAGAGTCTACTACTACTTTACTTAGATCTAAATCAAATCCAACTGAACAAAAATCTTAAGTCTTCATTTTCTCACACACCAACATGATTTCAAGTTCAGTGCTGTGACTGGTGTTGGTGTTTTCATAACATCAACAGTAACACCATCTTTCGAAATCCAACTTGAAATCACCCAATCTGATTCTGAATCTGAGTTTGCCTGGAAAAGCATCCAAAAATCAAATGCCTGACCTTAGACTTAGACGTCTGGAGTCGGCAGATGGGTGAGTTTTCTTAGTGAAAGAAAATGCTTTCTTATAATGTCTGTTTTATTATAAACAAATTAGATCTAGTAATTAAAAGATAGATTTTGGCATTGGCCTCCCAAGCCTTAAGGGCTCCCTCAAAATGTTTTTTACAATCATTTTTACAATCACAATGGTGATGACCTCTGACTGGCACTTCCGGGATTGTGCTGCTTCCGTATATGCGCTGTATGGGTGTTATTCAGTGCATTATACGGAAGCAGCACATTTACGAAGTGCCAGTCAGAGGTCATCACCATTGTGTAGAGATTGTGAATTCACACGGTACACATGAAAAGGGAGCTGAGCTGTATCGGTCTGGTAAGAAAATTGCTTTTATTTTATTATTTTTACCTCCGATTTTTAAATTCAGGAGGTAGATCTAATTAGGATTACAATTACAACAAAATTTATCAAAGCCACTGTCCAATATTGGTCGGGTGCGGGAAAGTGTGATTTTGGACACATTTTAGTTGTTGTTTACCTACCTTTCCGTGGGACCCTATGGGTGCCGTTTAAGGCTCCCTCGAATAATATCATAAATGACATTTCGAGGGAGCCCTTAAGGCTATCCCTACCTGTAGAGTCTAACTTAGTTAGATCGGATTGAACTGAAGATTTGAATGACACCACATTTCAACAACATAGTTGAACAAACTTCAAAATTATGTTGTTAACACCTTCATAGTTAATCAAATGAATGTTAGATACACATCTCGTAATTCATTTTAGTTTTAGACCTCATATATTTCACTTTTCATTTACCTCCGTAGCCCACCATTTCCACGTCGAATTCCTCGCCTGCCAGCGAGAGCGCATGATACTGCATGCGGGGACTTCTCCCGATGTCTCCTAGCACCAGCACGCAGGCTCGATTCCCAGTTCTCGTTGTCCTGTAGCCAGACGCCATGTAAACGAAAAGTAGAGACACTAACATTACACTGTAAAGTTCTTGGAAGTAGAGATACACTTCCATAAAGACAATCAACCCCCCTTGGGTCAAGATGTCTAAATTTATCGACGTCGGACTCGACATGATGATAATTTGTCTTCACTCCTTGACCAAGAACGTGACCAAATTTCGCAATCGGGACTGGGAGTGCTAAGACATCGTACCGGTACCTACCGGTATGTACGTGCTGTACTAGCTGACTGACGTAGAAATGCTTGCAAATGTATACCGTGCAAATCATCTACAGTGCAGTGGCAGTGCTTCTCTCCAATGCATCTGTTGGTGGGCCGCGGCCTCCCTGAGCTGCTCTCAATTTACTACATTCAAACCTAATATAACCTACCCATAATCGTGAGGCTTGTGTACACGATCTTCATGATTTAAACAAAAAAAATCACATTCATTGAAATTAAATCTTACGTGTGTATGAAATGTGTATGACTCAAACCTATTCAGTGTCTAAATATCCCCCGGAAAATAACCCCCCGAAAATTATCCCTCGAGGACAATTACTCCGCCCCCCCCCCCCCCGAGGACAGTTACCCCGATGCATGCACCCCTGAAACTAACCCCTAGCCATTTACCCCGCCCCAAGCCCTGCCCCCAGGATAACCGAGGACCCTTCCCCTGTCCGTTAAAGGAGATCGAAGTACAGCCTGATAATAAGTTGGTTTTAATAAAAGCAGATTTTTTTTCTTCTTCGGGGCCCAACTAATTATCCTCAGGGGTAATTGTCCACGGGGAGGGTAATTATTGTTCTAGGGGGTAATTTTCCGGGGGGGGGTAATTTTCCTCGGGGGTTATTCTCCGGGGGTAATTTCCCGGGTTGTTATTGTCCTTGGGGGTAATTGTCCTCGGGGGTTATTTTACCTGAGGGTAATTGTCATTGGGGGGTAGTTTACAGGCGGGTGATTGCATGCCCAGGGGGTAATGTCCAAGAATCCTCTAAATCAGTCCGGTATCAATAAGTTGCGCAACGTAAATATCCAATTCCCAGTGCCACATAGATTTGGGAAATTAAGTGGCATATAAATGCCCTTTCGTCCAGTTGCCTCGAAATCAACTTTCTAAAGCTGGTTTTCTTGAAGTCGACCAAAGATCAAAACAACTCGTATTGCACCACGTGCATAAAATATATCATACTAGGTCGAATCATTATATTCGATCCAACTTCGATCTGTTTACTGACTTACATGATTATAATACAAGAAATAGCCGATTTAACTTTAACTTACCAGATAGAGTAGGTAGTATTGGAAATTCGTTTTATTACAATGCCATAAAACATTGGAATTCCCTTCCCAATGGTGTAAAGCAAATAGAAAACTATGCTCATTTTAAGAGGAAATTAAAGGAATACCAACTTGACAGCCAGATAAGAAAAGTAAATGACATGTTATATGATTGAAATTTGTATTCTTCTGCCAGTTCATACTTTTTCATATTGTATATATACTTATGTTTTCGTACGTTATAGAAATTCTACAAATTCATCATTATTTTCCTCTTCTACCTCCGCCTTTTTTTCTTCTTCTCCTTCTTCCTTTTCTTCTTGTACTTAGCATCATTTCTATCATCAGTTTAATGCTGTTATTATTATTATCATTATTAAGTAATTCTTTTATTTTTCTTATCTGTCTGTAAATAATTATTACTATTTTAAGTTATTAATTTTATACATGTCTGTAAGGGACCCCACTGGAAATAAGCTCTCGAGCTTTCGTGGGTTATCCTGTTCAAGCTGACTTATTTCTGATCTGTTATTATTGTATATTGTTGTATGTTGGAAGCTTGTCGAATAAAAATCAATCAATCAATCAATGAGCTCGCACGATTACAATAATTACAGAATGATGTTGCTCGTAAGGAAACCAGTCCGACAATCAGTCACTAATTATCAGAGGTGAAAATGGGGCACTTCTTACACCTAAAAAAAGAGGCACGCACCAGGGATAAAAAGGGATCTTATGAGAATGGGAAATGGGCATTTGTGGACGGAAAAGAGGCACCCATCAGATTTTGATAGGGGCATTTATAAGAAGTGAAAAGGGGCATTTATGAAAGAGGGATAAGTTTCTTATTAGAAAGGAAAAAGGGGCACATATCATTGTTAAAATGGTAATTATCAGAGGTGAAAAGGGGCAATTAACGCATCTGAAAAGTGGCACTGACCATACATGAAAAGAGGCACTTAAGAGAATGAAAAAAGGGCACTAATGATAAAGGGAAATGTGCATATGTTTAAAGAAAAGGGGCAGCGATCAGTTTTAATAGGGGCATTTATCGGAGGTGAAAATGGGCTTTGATGAGAAGGGGGGAGTGGATCTTATTAAAAGGGAAAGGGGGCACATGTGAAAATATAAGGTGCGCTTATCCGAGTTAAAAAGGGGTAGTTATTAAAAGGGGAAGGGGCACTATTTACAAAGGAAAATGAGAACCTCTCAGATTTGAATAGGGCAATTATCAGAGGTGAAGGGGGCGCTTATCAAAAGTGAAAAGGGGCGCTTCTCGTACCTGAAAGGGGAACTTACTAGAGATTAAAAAAGGCACTTATGAGAACGGAAAATGGACACTTATTGCAAAGGAAAATGAGAACTTGTCAAAGGAAAAGGGGTACGTGTCAAGATAAAAGGGGCACTTATCAGAGATGGAAAGGGGAAGTGGCACTTTTAAACATTGATAGGGGCACTGGCAAAGTAAAATGTGCACTTTTCCTATGTAAAAAGGGGCACTTTGGGGGTACATAAACAAGTAGGGGGCACTGTGCCCCCTTCCCCCGGGAGCGCCGCCTCTGAAGCAGGTTCATTTTTCATTTCCTGTAACTATAACAAAACTTTTCATTACAAGACTAACAAAAAACTAGATATTCCAATGCTAATTTTCTGTTATATCATTATGTTTATTATTGTGATTATCTTGCCATTGTTTATATTATGTGGAAAATGAAATAAACTTTCGAGCGATTACTACTGCTTTCTATATATATATATTTTTTTTTGTGTGTAAAATAAACATTTCAGGTCTTCTTTATTTTTTTCTTCATAATAATATAAACATATTCACAGTTTAAACATTTGCCTCCATTTCTGGAGGGATATACATGGTTTTCTAATATTTTCTTCTATTTGTAAACGATAACTTAATAGGTAAATAAAAATATGAAGAAGTCTCTTTTTAGTTGTTATCTTTTTTAATTCTTTTCCTACAAAACTTTTGTAAATAGTAAAAAGTGCATAATTCAAAATAATATCAACATCTTTTTTCCTTCTTTGAATTGAAATCAATACCAAACAATAGATGACATGGTTTGAACTTAAAATTAGACATGAAATATTTCTTTATAGTCCTTTCAACTTCATTCCAAAACATACTGACTTCGTTACAAAAAAGAACATGTGCATACAATCACCTGTTTGATTACAATAATAACATTTATCATTGGCATTAACTTTCCATTTAAACAAATTATATGGTATTGCTAAAATATTATACATGAATTTGAAATTGAAATTAATTAGTAAGCTGTCTTTTATACTTTTTAACTTAAATAACCAAACATCTGACGATACAGGTATATATTCAATTTCCAAAGTATTACGCCAAAATTCCTCCGCTCTAGATTTTTCGATTTTTGTTTTAATTAACTCATGATATATTCTTTTACCTGTCAACTGTCTAACTGAAATCATATCCTCAATCAATTTTATATCATTATATACAAACGCTGTGGATCTAAATTTCATATACTCTCTATGTTCTACTTTCATATCTGCAAGTACTAACATATTCCCGAGTGATTGAATCGCTCTTCTAATACGTGCATATTGACTCTACCACCTTCCATCCTTAAATAGTATTTTCGCACTTAACTCATTAACTGGTAGAAAACCTTTACCATCCATTAAATCCCCAACAAACAAAATGTCAGAATTGATCCAATTCCTATAAAAAAAGCATTTTCCTACTTTCTATATAATATTTTCAGATTCTCAAGTTTCTCCAAGTGCTTTCGTTAATAAAAAAAAAAAGGGGAACCAGGGCCCTGTTTCATAAAACTTGATATCAATAACAAGTTACAATACTATAAGCTACTGAAATCAAGGCATCTGATTGGCTGAGAGGAAATTTATCATAGAAATTAAGCATTTGTTATACATTTTATGTTTTATGGTCAGTTACTTCGAAAGTGCAATACAACGCTGATTATCATGTTTAAAATTGCTCAAATTAGACGGGGACACCTCATCCTCCTCCTTTCTCACTCCGTACATCCATATAGTTGTTTAAAGTATTTCTATATTTTCAGAGATCGGTATTCTTGAGGAAATTTCACTGACATCGAGAGATTTGCGATACAATTCTGTGAAACAGCCAATGAGACAATGATAATTGTACTTAGAATTATCAATATAACCCCTCGTGTTATGTCCCAAACCGTAGTCTACAGAAGAGGTCGTCGTTAAAGAGGTTTCATGGACATGGGCTTTTGGTTATCTGAAAGAGATTCATTTCTCCATAAATACTTACACTTACACTTGCCGGCTCATAATACACGATTCGACTGCGATCCGATTATTGAAGAAATGGCAATTATAATAGTTATGGAAATGTAAACAAAGAACGTTTTGCTGATTTAGATTGTAAATAACGATAAGAATACTGACAACAATTTTGTTAGTGCCTTTAAGCCTTCTAGTAACAATTGAGTCCAAATCGGCTTCAAATCGTAGATAATCGTATGACGTCACGAAGATTTTGAGCCGATTTACCTTTTACTCCGTCAAGTAAGCTTGAAATTTCCTAAAAGCTTGAACTACCCTAAAAGCTAGATTTTATTAATTACATGAATAAACAGATCCTAATTCATTGATATTTTACATGTTGGAATGTTCATATAAAATGCTGCTGTAAATTCTTCCAAAATCGGATCACAGTCAGATCGTGTAGTGTGCGCTTTGCCTTAGAGTTTTGTTTTTGTTTGTTTGATTGATTTTATTTCTGCGTTCAAAAATATACAAATTCAAATTCAAAGTACAAAATTTCGAACAATAACAAATACAATGAATACAATGTTTACAAAAGTAATTAAATGAAAAATCATGTTCAATTATATCATTCGATAAACATGTACGAAGCATACAATAACATAAGAA